TAAAAAAATCTTTAAGGGACTGGAACTTAATACTGATCTCGATTTGTTTTACTCTGGAAAGCGCACAAGTCTTAAGGTGTATCTAAACAAGTGTTTCCTTCAGCTAATACAAACATTGCGTTCTCAAACATAACAGCATTTGATAAAGAGGGCAACCAAATTTTTCCCTATAGTGAGCTCATGGAAGTCTGTATGTGTTCGAACGGGTTTTTACTGATTCAGCGGCTTTTGAGATTTTGAAGGTTTTGGCTTGAAATAGGTAAGTCAAGTAAACAACCTGAACGATAACTGGTAACGAAACTCCTTGTCGCAGATTAACGCGTTTCTCAGTCGTTTTATGGCTCTAATGGAGTGAGTAGTTTAAGGATATCCCATGCTCGTACGCAAAAGGAACTGTTTAAATAGCTTTGCCAAACCATAGCATTTGTTTTTGGCCAGGTTTTCTTGTACATCGCAGAGTGAGGAGTTTCGTTTCTCCGTCTCTTTAGGTAGGCATGTATGATGGTACAATTGCAATCTACAATGTGCGAAACAGGAATGATGGACCCGCCTTAGACAGTTTGTAAGTATACCCTCAAATTCCATACTGCTTTGCCTATTTACTGTTTACGTCATGACCACTATCGTAGTCATAACAGGAAAAACTTCAGTGATATTTGTGGACAGAGGGCCGTCAGCAGAGGTGCTAGTTTAGTGGAAAAGAAAATAGGCAGATGGATAAAATCAATCACATGAACACTGTATAAATGGTACAAGATTTTTCCTCCTTTTTAGTTGCAGTGGAAATATTTCTTAAACATGGTAATACAGAGTTAATGTCGTTTACATAGACTTAATAGCCTTTTCTAAGCGTTTAGGTAGTGGAGCGCCGGCGAAAAAAAAAGCGAGGGAAAAAAACGAGGGAAGATTGGGGAGAGCGTTGAAGGAGCAAAAAGCTGTTCCGGTATAGCAGATTGTGTTTTACCCTCTGATTGGTCGATCAAAACTTTAAAACCCTTTTTTGGTGGAATCGGGAAGGAAGGGAGCGGAAGGTTACAACATCATTACAAATAGTGCTTGTTTCTTAAAAGTCATTAGTAATTCAGAAATATTATAAACTAGTATTTTATTTGTGGAAATCAATGTTTCTTTATTCTCCATATTCTTATTGACAACTGGAGGTCGTTCGCCATTCCCCCAGTCCCTTTTTTGGGTGTGTTTCTTGTTCGCTCGATTTTTGGCTCACGCTTCACCATCTGGACACCTGGAAAAGGCTCAGTATAGACTTATCGGTGTGTTGGTTAACAGTATCTATAGTAACCAGTCATTGATAGTGTGTAACCGTTCGTTGTAGTGAAAGCCAAGGTAAACACTCATCACCCGTCTGGCAGGTCCGCTGGGTGGACCGAGAACAGGGTGCTGGAGAAGAAAGAGATGAAATCCTGATTTCCATTTCAGCTGATGGTCGAGTAACCAAATGGTCCATAAGAAAGGGATTTGAGTGTACAGGTGATCCTCTTCACTTCTAAAACTTTTACCTTTCATTGGATAGCTTCGTTGAAGGAGCTGTGCCACGAAATTTAGCAAATTCAAACAGTAGGGACCGCCATCGAACTGAGTGAAACATAAATTGAACTGCTCAAAACATGAATAGAAGGTATAAATAACACAGCAAATATAAAAAGGGGAACAGGTGGACAAATTGCGGGAAGATGGAAACGGATGGCAATTGTGGTTTTTGAAAACTTGTTTGCCTAACAGATTTTGAAAGTTCATTTGTTTTTTGTAACGTTATTATATAATGCTTGGGAGACTTATTTTCTTGACACGAATCTGTGATTTGTCATTCACAAGTAATTTCTGAATTAGGATGTGCAACTACAGTTGAACTTCTCTACAACGGCCACCGTGGGGACAAAAGAAAGTGGCCGTTGTAGAGAGGTGGACGTTGTACAGAGGTTTTAAACAGAGTCAATTTATGGATTTTGTGTCCGCCGGGACGAAAAAATGTGGCCGTTGTAGAGAGGTGGCGGTTAGCGGAAGTTCGACTGTAGCATTATTAACAAAATGTACCAGCCAGCCGTAACACAGCCCCTTTTTAAAACTTAAAAATTTTGTTCTATTCATGACGTTTAGACTTGATGAAGTTAAAGCGGATAAATGTCGCCAAACAGTCGAAGGAGGGAGGAAAAAAAAGTGATGCTCTTATATCCAGATTTGCTGCCGGCTTCTGTTTTGATGTTCATCCTAACGATTCTAACATGTAAGTCGTTGCCTGCACGTGACAAGCTTCCATGTAGTGTTTGCTATGGGCTAATCGTAGCTTTTTAGTCAACCTGTCTCTCTTAGGACTGGAAAAATCTCAACTGAAAAGAGCGCGCCAAAACTTTCTGGTATTCCTGAGTATAATCACTGTGAAATTAACGTGTGGTCGAGCTCTCATTGGTTAATTAAAGGTCACGTGAAACTGTTTCCCGCCAACAGTCTCCGAGCGGGAAATATCGCAAAATCAATGACGTCACCAGGGCGAATAAAGTTGGGGGGAGAAACGAGCGCGTCCGAGCAAAAAGGTGTGATGCAGTGGACTGGGACTCTGCTTAGAAATGTCGCTTGTTTTCGACTTCGGTCAGGGCTTGCGATGTAGCTTGTCCATTAGACACTGCCGTTGTCACTGAATTATGGCGGTTTGATTTGTTTTCTTGCACTTCTTCCTCGTTCCTTTGTGCTAGTATTCTCCGAGAGGCAAATGTAGCAATTTTTTGCGGGAGGGTTAATTGGAGTAGACAAACACCTCTTTCAAAGGGTTTCTGTTATTACTTCCGTGACTCTACCACTGAATTATATTTTCGTCCTACTACTCGCCAATGTCGATGTTATTCCAACACAAAAACAACTAAGTTCTGTCTAAAACAAGGAGGAAAATCTCATCCATGTCATCTATGGCAAAACTAAAAGACAGCAGATCGTGTTTCATAAATAGATGACGTGTATTTTATAAAAGCGTGCAGCTCGTGCAAGGTGAAATTATGCAAATTTCAATGACCATCATCCTTCTTTTTTAATTTTGAAAAAAACATCTCATACGTCTTTCTGTTTCTTCGAAACTTCAAAATTAGTTTCCCCTCAGTTTTTACTGTTCACCTTGTTTTGTTTTAGAGAGAAAAACGGAGAAAAAAACCTTACAACTAACCTCAATAAATTTTGTTTACATGCGGTTGCCGGAATTGCGACTCATTGCGCGAATCTCAATGGCGCGTTGCACCCGAGAAGCAAAGTTTGAAGCAGTACAACGCCACTATATCAAAATATATCAACCTAATTTTTTGTTATGTTATATAAAATTTATCCCCGTTTAACATATGTAAAAATTGAGGTTAAGAAGTGTTAAGCTTTTGCAAAGGAAACGGCTAAAGACGATTGGGTGATATTTAATGGAAGGAGGAGGTATTCAACACTTTCAAATTAAACTCAAATTTTGGAATTATACGACCAACAAGTTTGACTCATAGGCATACAGACACAAACATATGAAACTGTTTATTGATATTGTTATGAAACGAATTTATCTATTTAACATTGTAGCCTGAAATTACAGAAAGAAAATAGGATTTCCGGTTTGCAAAAACGAAAATTTCACCGGCCTTCAAGCGCACCGGAAGCGCGGAAGGAGCGCGTGCCAGTCCTACTCCGCATCACACGTTAAATGAAGAGCGGAGCGCTCGTTTCACCGCCCAACATTTATCCGCCCTGGACGTCACCGTGCAATGTTGACCGCTTGTTGACATTTACATCCTTAAATGTGTAAGCGTAGACGTTTGTCTTCGTGAGCTATGTAACAAATCGCTTACTGATTAGTTCCTCCGAAACTAAATATATAAAGATACGCTTTCAAAGAAAAGATAATACACGATTGAATGTTCAAATTGTTTAATTAAAGTTATATAGAATTGCTAGCATATTGATGTTGTCTCGTATTCTGATGATTTCAGCTTGTCCAGTCTTTTCTTATCGTTTCTTCCAGTGGTATTATGCTAACCCCGTTAAATTGTATTTTGCTACTGTATTGATTCGAACCTGGGTATCTCGATGAACCTCTTTTCTCTGCGTGTTTCAGGTACCTAGCTGGAACAGAGGAAGGTCATATTCACAAGTGTTCGTNCCTCACTTGGTAACTTGCTAAACCTTGTTTATTACATTTAATTTTCAGAAATCAGTGAATGACATCTGTTGGTCACCCTCTTCAGCAACACTTTTTGCTTGTGTCAACGACAAGGCTGTAGAAGTCTGGGATCTGAGCCTTAACACGTAAGACAGCCGCTTTCGCCATCCTTTTCTTTTGAGTCTGGCGTGCCATTGAATGTTTTGATTTCACTGTGTTGTTTACGATTTATCAGATTGGATCCTATAATATCTCATGTGCCAGTACAGGAACTCAAGTTGTCTTGTGTTCGATTTACTACCAACTCAGAGGTAATGCTTCTTTTACGACTCTTTTTTTTATGACTATCTGATCGCATCTCTTGCCCGATAATTTCTTTATCTATGAGCTGTAGCGCTGCTTTAGAGCCTTACGCAGAATCTCTACTTTCATTTCTCTCCATATGTTCCTTTCGCGAGAAAAGTCGAAAGGAAAGTACCTTATCTTTACTCAACCCTTAAAGGCACCCGAAACGTTTAACTGAAACATCTAGGTGTGCAAAAGCGATGCGAAACGAGTTTTGGCGTGCCAATTATCAACTTTTTACAAGTTTATAAAATGGTTTAGTAACACCCTCCTCGATCTGCTTAATTCTTCATATCCTACGAAAGCCGAATTCATTAATTGCTAATTATGTAAAGTTATCTGAGCCGGGTCAGCTAGTGTGCCGTTTGTTTTTGTTTAACAGATTCAGACTATTTTAGTGGGTGACTCGGAAGGCCAGGTGACTGTCTATCAACTGAGAGGTCTTGCTTCTCCAACAGACAACCAGGTAAAGCCCAAACATTGAAACTTTGTTGAAGTATAATACGTTTTTCATTTTTTAATTAAGTTGCTCAACAAATCGTCTTACTTTTCTTTCGTTTCCGCTACAAGCGTCTTCCTCGCCCCAGAAAGAATTTAAGTTGTTATAGATTTTTACCGGCAAAGAGTTGTTATAAAGCGCGGCACACATTTTACATGTCCAGGATTCCGGTAGTACGGGCTTGAACTGTTTTCTCCATAAAAAATATTTGTTGTAAGCACTATCGTTTTTGTCCAAGAATAGCATGTAATTAGCAAGTGACTCTACCGACGAGAAATCCATGGCGTTAATGAAAGAGCCGGGGATAGCGACTTGCTGGTCGTATGAAGGACTCCCTAGCACTACTGGAATAATACTGTGATCTAGTGGCGTGTACCAGTATTTTTCAGTTATGTAATCAACGCAGTATGAGTTTTCGAACGCTAGGAAAAATTTGTAACGCAGCAATATTTCGCGGCATCCTCGAGTCGCTTTTGGACAGATGCTGGTTTGATTAAAACGCTTTGAACACATTCCAAACACATCTACCTTGATGTACTTCATCAGTTTTCTAACCAAATCTTCTCTAATCCCTTTACAATGACTTACAATCCAAACAGCCAATCTGCTTTTGTCTTTGGCGTAATTCGTAGTGTCTGACTGTTTTTCGACAATCTCGTCGGGTCCCAGTTGTGTGTACGTACGGTACGGAACGAAAAAATCTGAATCCCTCCGATACGACATCGTCCAGTTGAAGAAGCCATTGTATAACGAAGGATCATAGTAAGTAAATTTTGGACTTTCGTGCATGAAGTAAACCCATCTCTGATTGAAGGGTTTGACGCTCAGAATCTGCTTCATGTGTGCTGTGCTTGGTAAATCTCGGCCGTGAAATATAACTGCATCACTGTGTATCAGATGGCTCTTGTTATAGGTTATTTTACATGCTTGCACACGACAAGGAACTCTATTCCAGTGTGTGAAGTTGTAATTGTTGGTTAAACCTGGCCATGGCAAGCGACCAAATAATTGCGTGTAGAATAAAATCAGCTTTAAGTCCCGTCCGTGATTCTTTTCTCCACTTAACATAAACTCGTCCATGGTCATTCCATGTACTTCAGCAGTTTTACCCCCTAAAACAGTGGATTGACGCAGTAGCCAATACTGCAGAATAGTAAGGACGCTACCTATAAAAACTATCAAGACAACAGTTTTCGTTTTGTGATCTAGAGCCATAATCATTTTTGAAATGTTTCTTTCCACCCTGTCTTGATTTTAATCATGCGGGATTTTTTAAACGCAAGTTTGGTTACCTGGAAACAGCTCTTTGTTAAACTGTATCGCCGGCAATCATGTTCGTATATTAGCAACAATCCTATTGTCAGAGTCACTTTTCACCAAACATTTGTTTGTCTTCCCTTTTGTTTTCTTCTGTTACCGTATGTTTGGTTTTTTTTCTCAGAAGTTCCGAATATCTTCTTCCCTTTTATTTGTCGGAAGTATTCGTATTTGGTAATGTTACAGGCAATTTCTGCGTAAAGTACCCACCATTCAGTGTCAACTGTCTGCAAATTAAGTTATGTTGTGTTAACTTATTGTATTAACTGCCCAGCGAGCAGATCGCGTACGCTTCCTCTATAGGAGTTATCTGAGGATAGAGTTCATGTGTTTTTCTGATACAAAATTTGAAAACTGGTTACAGTAAACACCCGCATATAAGAACACACGATTTAGGAGGTCAGGCTTATTGAGTTCTTATCAATCGGGTGCTTAATGACAAATCAGCCTTAAAATGTTCTTAAAATGTTTTTAAATTTTTATTTAGTAATACTATCCAAAACATATTGCTAGAGGTATATTTAGCATATTTTAGGAAAATAAAATAAATAATTATTCTGTAATTTGATTATAATAAGGTGGCTCGATACAGTTTTTCAGGACCAATACCTCCCAAGTTTGAGCATAAACTACGTCGCCATAAACAAAGTTTTGGAAAAATTGCCACCACAGTTGTATTAGATGAAGATGGAAATTTGTTATGGTCAGGGTTGCAACGTCATCGGAGTTGTCATAGCAACGAAATGACGCCAATAGCTATTTTACTTGCAGCAGTATATCTCGGCACTAGGAACTGTTCTTCGAAAATCATTCGCGAGAGCTTTCTCCTCCAATAGCAGCCTCGACGTTCGTGAAGTTTAAGCGAAATCTGTAAGAGCGTTATCGAGACATTTTGGGATAAAGAGTTTGTGGTTAGAAATACAGTAAAAAAGTAGCCCTTATTTCACTGCCTTACAACATATCAATAATCTTGAAACTAAAAGGTCATATAAAAGGAAAGTTAATCTCAAGAATCTTAAATTTAAAAAAAAATCCATCGAGCGGTTTAAAAATTATTCGCTAATTTGTTAAAGTAGACCAAGATGTTTACAAAACCGCTAACAAGAGCGCTTCGATACATACTAATCAAACCCTTCTTTCTAGCAATCGGCTGGAGCTATCTCCCATGATCTTTCACACACGCTTTTAAAAAGATTGAAACTACCCTGAGGTGAAATTGCATGTCGAAAGCGCCTCATTTTCTACAGATAACGGCCAAACAACAATATTGTCCGTTTTTTACTGTGTTTCTAACAATAAAAACTTTATCCCAAAATATCTCGATAACGCTCTTACAGATTTCGCTTAAACTTCACGAACATCGAGGCTGCTATTGGAGGAAAAAGCTCCCGTGAATGATTTTCGAAGAACAGTTCCTAGTGCCGAGATATACTGCTGCAAGTAAAATAGCTAATAGCGTCATTTCGTTGCTATGACAACTCCGATGCCGTTGCAACCCTGATCATAACAAATTTTCATCTTTATCTAATACAACTGTGATGGCAATTTTTGCAAAACTTTGTTTATGGCGATGTAGTTTATGCTCAAACTTGGGAGGTATTGACCCTGAAAAACTGTATCGAGCCACCTTAACAAATGAAGTTATCTGACAGCAAACATAAACTTACACGTTTTGTAATTATGACACTTTTTCCATTTTATAAGAACATGTTACAATTTTCAGGCTGATCTTGTTCTTATAAAAATGAGGCTTTATTGGCCAAATTTCAGCCTGGTGTTCTTAATCCATTGTTCTTATATTCGGGTGTTTACTGTATCGCATCTTCGTGAAATAACCCGGAAATTTACGCACGCAGTTTAAGTTGTGTGAAATGTTTTCATTGTATTTTTAGAGGGAGAGCAAACAGAGGGAGCAAACGGCGAGCAAACTCGATTTCAGCTCTGAAAAAGGACTGTTCACAGCCCCCTATTTTCCCTTAAGATCGTCTGGTAGCCGTTACGGACGGCCATCTTGGTTTCAAAGGGTGAGCCAGAGAAACCAAGATGGCGGTCCCGTAAGGGTGAGTGTTCGATCTTACGGGAAAAGAGCAGACTCTGAACAGACTATTTTAGCTCTTAACCAAGACAGTATTATCTCATTATCATCTTTAATCACAACGTGGTTGTTGTTCACTCTCTAGTTGTTTTTTCATAATAATTTATAATTGTTTTCGCAAGAACTATTTCAACAAAAGCAATTTTTGTCTTTTTTTGCAGGCGCAGGTTTTGACGAAGTTAATAAGGTCTGTTGATAACTCGGCAGGATCACCGGGTAAAAAGAAAGCTGATCAGGAATAAGAAGGATAGAGCGGTCACGTACTCACATGAACTCCATCCACGGAGATAAACTGGCCATTTAAAACAAGAAGTCGAACTATTGTATACAAGATGGCTTATTTTATTATTTGAAGAGGTATTTTCAGACGAAGTCAACGTTACTTCTTTTTCCTACTGAATGTTAAAATGAAATGTAGGGAAACAAGCTTGTATAAAAGTCGTTTGGTTTATATTTATTGTGTACAAAAAAGCAAATAAAATTATAGGTTCGATAAAACAGTGCGACAAGTTATGTACATTGATGTTATTTTCAAGGTATTAAAGTCACTTTTAAATAAAACGTGCGTGTAAACCCATGCTTTGATTTTAGACGGTCTGTCCTGAACTACGGTTTCTCTACCACTATACTAACCGATTTCTAGGTCCGTGCTGGAAGTTAAATCGTTAATCAACGGTGAAAAAACTCGGTCCGTAACTTAACGAACGGACAAAGAAAACGAGGTTAGTAAGACATTTTAAAGCAGACGCATGTCTGAGGTTAATCAGAAGCGCGGGAAAAGAAAACTTTCAAATATAATGGACCGTACAGTAGAACACAGCCCGCAAAATTTAACCAATCACAGCGCGTACTAATTTGAGACAACAATTATTGAATGAGGCCGAGAACGACATGAAGAATTATGCACATCGAGAAAGGTGTTCAGCTGTGGCGGATAGCAGCCTCCACAATCTGCACAATTCCTCACATCACACGAAAGCCACATTCCATGATTTTTTTAGAGTCTTACCAACATGAACTCCTCGTGGACTTTCCTCAACACATCGGCCTGTTTCTCGGCATAGTTTCCGAATGTGAACGTTTTTTTTTTTTTTAAATTGTGGGTATGGAGAAATTGCTAGTTTTTCAGAGTACACTTTTGTTGTTTGGAGAACCTGAATTATAATGCTTCCGAGACCTCTTTCTGACACAAAGCTGTGATTTTGTCCATAACGATGAAGGCCGCGTAATTTGCAGTAATAAAATGATCTAGACAGCCGTGGCAGAGCCCCTTGAAAGCCAATAAGAAACGGCAGAATATTTTGAATGAATAATGAAAGAAATTATTTCATTATTTATTGCAATACATTTCGTGTTTTAAGGTTTATGGGTTGAGGTAAGGGTTCACGACTCCATTGTCTTTGCAATTCTCAGAAGAGACTTGAGCACAAAGAAAACCAACCATAGAAATATGACCAGAAAGCCTTGAAGTCATGTTAGAATTTTAATATATCGAACATGGAACCGAACCTGGGCTATTTCATCTCTGAATTAGACTGCTGGGTATGGCTTTCAAATGGTAACGAGTTTAAAACAAGGAAACTAAAATTGGCATCCAGGATAACATTGAACCAAAGCATGTTGTTAAGCTCCCAATATGTTTGCACGTAAGTTGGAAATTCTGCGAAACTCTAGCACATGCAATGATAAAAAAGGGCCTAAACTTGACTAACATTCCTAAAATTTCTTTGTTAGTTGAAGACTGGATTTGTCATTAAACCACGTCGCAACTTCTGTTCTTCTTTTCATGTCTTCTTAGTCAGGCATAACAAAATGAAGGTTGTTTGCTCTTCGCAGTTGCAGCTGGCCGTTTCCGTGTTCATTGTTAGGTTGAAAATAAATCTTGGTGTACTGCGTCAGAAATTGTTCTTAGAGAAGCGTTTCCGATCGTGCGGTGCCCACTTTTATCGCTGCTAACGTTTTCAACGATGCTGCGTTTCAACCGTTTTCCTGTTTTGAGCGCGCAGGGCTTTTTAACCTATGGAGTGCTACTGAGCGTGCCACCCACATCTGAACGTTAATTTCAAGAACTCGCATCAATGACGCCACTTATAAAAGCAAGCACTAGTTCAACGAAAAGGACGTTTAACTGCTTCCGCTGTTATAACGTGTACTGCACTGGACATGTTCTTCCGAGATGAAAGCGTTTCCTCTAGTGGTAGCCTATTGAATATAGATTGTTTAGCTCTTATGCCGGTATGCACTCGTTCAGCTTCTGTCCCCGATTTGTCTTGGGTTGTAGAAGATCAATTGATTGTTGTTGGAGTTGAGGATTCAGCCCTTGACTTTGATGTTTATGATCTTGATGTCTTCATATGGTTTATCGTTCTTAGGGTTTGTTTTGACTTTGCTGATGGCCATCACCACGTCCATTCCCTTGACAACACGTCCGAATACGGTGTGCTTGTTGTCCAGCCAAGGCTGAAATAAAAAGAAGTCGATCATACATCAAACAGCTAAACAGACAACCTCCAACGGTGCAATCATAGATGTAGCATCATCTAAAATGATGTAAAATTACCTAAATGATCTAAATTCGGGATACAACACATTGGACTGTTCCCAGCCCCTCTATTTTCTCAACTTAAAGGGGCTACACGTCACGCTATTTCCTATCTTTTCATAAAGCTAAAACTATTTTGCCATCATTGAATTCCGCAAATAATGATCCAGTTTTATTACGCAAGACTATATTTAGGCATTGAAACTGTTGTCTATCGTCTGTTGCAACGGATGGCAAGGATGGACATGGATTTAGACTTGAAAAAGT